GCCGTGCACAAGTCCTTCACAGCCTGCAAGCCAAGCCACATAAAATATGCAGCCAGCCGACTTTGCCGACGGACCTCAGGTTACCAGTATCTCAACTTATTCTTCCGTAGAGAGAACAGTGACTCCCTCAGAGATGTAAAGTGATGTTCCTGGAAGACCTGGGGCCAGAACTAAGCCACTTGGCTCCCAGGCTAGCTCCACACACTACAGGCTGCAGAGGTGTGAAAGGTACCCGACAGCACCTGCGTTCATCCTCTCGGTGTAAAGACAAGGGTTGTTGCATGATCACTTTTGAGGCCTGTTTCTGAGTCAGCCATGGGGGACTTTACCTTTATCTCCATCCTGCTCATTGGAGATTGTCTTCAAGTCAATGAAATGGGTCGCCAGCACCACATCGTTCATGCTGCCTTCGTCCCACACCTGGATTTTCACCCTCCGACACAAGGGCGGGAACATTTCCTTGAAGACCACTTGTTCGTGCCATATAGGATCAGCACAGTTCTTCTGCACTGTGGTTCGACCCTAGAAGCATAGTCAGGAGCATGTGAACCACGGAAGGAAGTCACTGACTCCAGCCAGCTGGAGATATAAATCGAGCTGCTAAAAATAATGAGACTGCTTCCCCTGACATTTATGAAATCAATCGCACCCAGCGAACATCACTGAAGACCAACTTTGGCTGGATTTCACCCCAAGCACCTGGGGCAAAGTGGGTCACTCACACAGGCAGCTTCTCACCCACACATGAGAGTAAAACTAACGGCTGTGCTATGAGCAGGAACTGCTCCAGGTATCTCCAGGAGCGCAGTGGATACAGACCCTGCGCTCACCTCCTACAAGACCATGCCCTTGGGGGAATCACTACAGTAGCCCGGCCCTTTCGTTTCTTCACATAAAATGGGGAGTGATGTTCTATATGACGTCCATGTTCAACCCAGGTCAAAAGTACACCAGTGTTCACCCTTGTCAAAGGGAGATGGTCATTCCACATTTGGAAGGTAGAGACGTCTGCCTACCATAGTCAAGTTCTGACCATGTGTCCAATTGTAATACTTGCAAAGGTGCTTGTTCAGACAAATGTAGGACAAGGGTTCCTGAACAATGTGAAACAGACTGGGAGACTGGGCTTGTGCTATAGGGCTGGGAGGTATGGAATGGCTTGGGGAAATAGTAAGAGGCAACCAAGGACATCTGCCTGCCTGGGACCTGAGCCATAAGCACACACAGCTCCCTTCCAACATCACCAATGGGTAATTCCCCCCACCTCCCAGCCACCTTATTCATGGCCTTCTTGGGACAAACTTCCTCTTTCAAGGCATTTTCTAATTTTTATTTAAACTTTATTTCATTTGATTAAAAATGCCTGGATGTAGAGCAGGGGTCTAGCCCAGGCTGACTAGCATGGATGACAGTAGCCCCTCACCGTCTGCCCAGCAAAGGAGACCTCCACAAAGGGATCCACCAGGTCCTTGCTGTCACCCACAAATGCTTTGGTGACATTCGCCATGATGCTGGAGTTCATTTTGGGCAATCCTTCTGCTCTGTAGAGTCTCACATAGAATCTGGCCCAGGCTCTCTCTGATGGAAAACCTTGTGGGATCAGAAGGTTCCTTAGAAAACAGAAAATTTTAAAAAATCAAAAGCTCTCGCACTTGGAAAACTATAGAGTAGAGAATAAAAGCACTTTGGAAGCAGAAAGTAAGATTTGACATGCAAGGAGACTGAGATTCACCACTGCAACGCGCCTTCTTCCTAGCGTCAATGACAGCAAAGGGCATAAATTGAGCATAAACCTTTCAGGCCCTAGAATTAGAGGACACCCTGTCTCTCACTCTCCATTTTAGAGATGCATTTATGATTCCCCATACCAGTAGGTAAAACAATAATTATTCAAAGAAAAATCAACTACAATCAGATAAATTACATAAGCCCAGGAACAGCTTATCTACAATGGGCCATTAGAGATGAAACAGTTCTCATCGTGGAAGCCAACTTTCCAAAGGCAAGCAATGCCTTTGAGAGGACATGCCCTGCTGCCTCTGGTAGAGCAGAACCAAGGTGGCCAGCCTGTGGACTTGGTAGTTCTTATACACCGGTGAGGAAAGGGGTGGAGGGAGGAGAAAGAGACACAGGACAGTGCATAGCATAGCACCTCTCCAAGGCAGCCCAGAGAGACCTGTCTCACTTTTCTATTTGCTCCTCAGCATCGGAGGTTTTGGGGGTGGTCTTTAGGGTGTCGCCTTTGCCGGTCACATTGATGTCACACTTCAGGTAGCCCTTGGTGCCAGTCCTGATGTCTCCGGGGTCCGTGAGCAGTGCCCACTTGTCACAGAACTGATGGCCTAGAAAAGCACTTTAACAGTTCACATCCTCCACAGCTCGGTGAGTGACGTCCCTCGTGCTCTCCTCGCCCCCAGGTCTTCCCCACACTCTTCACTCTGTTGCTCAAGGCAGCCACTCTTCTCAGTTATTCCAAGACTCCTGCTGTCCCCCAACCCTCTACTCCCCATTCAACCTACCAAAGATATTTGGGAAATATTCAACCTGGTGATTCACTAGACAGAATCCCTACCTTTACTAGAGAGGACAGTAGTAATGGAGTAGAGAAGTCAGAAATGTGGCTCATAGATCTTTTTGTTTGCCCTATGCTATGAGCAAAACTTCAAAGTTGCTTACAAAATCTAGACCTCATCTTCTAAAATGAAAAAAAAAAGTAAAATAAGTCAATACTGAGCTTCCAAGGACCAAGACCTCCTGCTCCCTACAGACTCCATCCCTCCTGAAGGGATGGCGATCAGGCCAGAGCTCCCAGTCAGGCCCACTGCCTGGCCCCTGAGGTCCCAAGTACTGGAATCGCTGCAGAAGAGAAGGGGATGCTCCTGAGAAGATCTGTTCCCTGCTGGCTCCATTACTCATCAGTTCCCAAATTACCTATTGTCAGAATTTCACTGTTCCGTAAATCAGGGGTAAGAATAATGATTATAGAAGCCTGACATAAAATATTCAGTTATTATTACATGCTAGGCTCTCTATTAAGCACTTTATGTACATTTATTAACTTACTGTTCCAAAAACTCTGAAGGAGGCATTAACTTATCATCATGAGGAAAATGAGAGACAGTCAAGTCACATCCACTGCTCAAAGCTGCACAGCTTGGAAGTGGCCGAGTGGTATTTGAAATCCAGGATTCTAATCCCACCACCTATATCTTTTTCCCAGTACTAAGTATTGAACCCAAGGCCTTGACACTGAGCTACAACCCCAGCCCATTTATTTTTTGTTTTTATTCTGAGACAGGGTTTCGCTAAATTATCCAACTGGGCTCAGTTTCCCAGAGTTCTGTGATTATGGGCGTCTGTCACATGCTTGGAGCATACGTCTCACAGCGCTGAATTAAGGAGAATTTGTCTGAGGACAAAAAGAACATACTGAGACATGGACATATAACTCTATCATTAAATCACAAAACATTAAAGACAACAGCCGCAACATTCTCTACTTGGTAGGATTAGTGCTCAGTGTCATTGAATGAAGGGTTGAATGGATGAATGGATACGTGAAATGAACTCTGGGTGCTATAAACCAAAGAAGGCTGAAGGTGGAGAGGTGCTTTCTTACCAGGTTGGTTATACACAGTCCCCAGGTCTACTTTGAAGGAGCCAATCAGAATACTTCCTATCAGCTTGTGGTGGAAGACCTGAGGAGAGATGGAGGACAAGTCCAACACAGTTGTCTCTGAGGATAAGTCTGTGAAATGGGTTCATCGGAGAGGCTTCTTGGCCTTACCCTTTGTCTGGCTTTGACTGGGGGATAGTGGAGTTTGTTCATCAAGCCATAGGGCTCTGAAGAGCTTCTAGAAGCTTCTCACTGGTACCTCACCCCTCTACCAAGCTTCCAGACATTGAAGGTCACCTGACTCTCAGCACCTGAGAGTTTTCTTTAACCAAAATGGTCACCAGAACAGTCTTCCCTTCAAACCCACTTCTGCCTGCTGAAGTTCTCCCCGTTCTTCAAGCCTACACATTAGTCCTTTGAGCAACATTCCCTGATTCCCCGGATGCAACTCTTTCCTTTCCCCCTAACTCCCAAAATGCTTTTCTCCCAGCATTCTCAGAGAACCCACCATGGAGTGCTATGAAACACTTGGTAATATGCAACAGAAGAAGAGGGGTGGTGCCTCTCAATATTGGTATATTCAGAAGTCAGCAAAGTGCCAAGGTTGGTTAGAGAAGTACATTCTGAAGTGAATTTTGCCACAGCAAGGAAGTTCTAAAGGAAGATGGCCAAGCTGGTACCTGTCCAGATGCCACATTGTGTGAGAAACTGATAACGAACCAAGAGTCATTTCATTTTACCCCAGAAGAGAGAAGACTAGGGTGAGGGATGTAGAGACAGGGCAACAGAGATTCAAGTGTCCTAAAATCTAGGAAGGTCTACCATCCAGAGCGGGATGGGTCCTTCCTGTGGGGCTTTTAAGTACAAGATGAAAGATTTCAACTCAAGAAGAAGACAGAAAAAGAAGATAAGGACAGTTTTTATTTTGGCCAGAGTTTCTCAGCAAGGGGGTGGGATTTCCACAAGTAGTACTGACCTCACCACCACTGAAAATAATCATCCTGTCTAAGAACCCTCTATCATGAGGAAGATAGAGAGTGTTTCTATGCCAATTGAAAGCTAGATTGCATGGCCTCTGAACTTTTTTCTAACTGCAAAACCCTTCAATCCAGGACAGTCTTCTACTCTCTTCTATCCATGATGTGGCCTCGTTCATAGTCAGTGTTCAAGAAACATTCTGTGACTTAGTGAATGATTGAATGATGGATGAATAGGAGGAATTTATAGCTTCTAAATATCCTCTTTTGGCAGAGGTAAAACAAAACCCAGTAAATCTGACTGACCTCACCAACTGACCTCAACACATGACAGCCCTTCCCATTTCCCTGTTCTCTCTCTCTCTCTCTCTCTCTCTCTCTCTCTCTCTCTCTCTCTCTCTCTCCCTCTCTCTCTCTCTTTCTCTCTCCCCCAAAGTTTCCAACAGTGTCAGAAAACTGAGGGCAAGTAAGGACAGCCTGGCTGACTAGAGGAGCTATTTAAGGCTACACACAGAGAAAGCAGCTCAGTCTGTAAGTTGCCATGATTCAGTGGCTAATGTGGCTTCTCAGAGGTCCAAGAATGACTGGTTTCTTTGCAAGAAAGGGTCTCTGTGAACGAGATGGAATATATCTTCAAATAACAAAGGAGAGCTCCTCAAATCACCCAGCTAATGGGTAAGTGACAGGTAAGCCTGATGTGGCAACCAAGAGAGTGGTGAGACCCTGGGGACATCTCACTCACAGAGGCCTTGTGTGTCTTGGGTGACTATTAAGGGAAGATGGCCTTGGCACCGCCAAGCTAGATCACAGCCTAACTCTGCCAAGTGGATCTGCTTTCAGCCCTCTCCCCCTTCCCCGATGAATTTGTTCCAACCACACTAAATTTCCATTCATGAACTAACAGGTTAAACATTCCAGGCCCAAAGGAAGTATTCTTTTCAAAAATCTTTTGTTTGTCTCTCTAAGAGTCACTTAGGGACACCAAAGCATTATCTTCTCCCAAATTAGGGGAACAGAGATAGGCAATACCAACTCGGACCCTCTACCAAAATTCCATGAGTTTCACCAACAGCCCTGAGCTTGCCTGCAATCCACCATGCAAACCTAGCAAAGGCAAAGTACAGTGGCATAGATCTGTGATCCCAGCCCCTGGGGGACTGAGCTGAGAGGCTCGCCAGTTTGAGGTCACCTTGGCTCATACAGTGACTATTAGGCCAGTGAGATCCTGTCTCAAGTAACAGCAAAAAGCTACAGAGCCACTCTCACAAACAAGCAGTCGCTTGAGCGATGGAGCAAAGTCCTGGGCAGTATTCCAGGTCCCAAAATACCTTGTCATCATGCCTGAAATCCAAACACTAAGAATGTTTGGCTCTTCATGACTTTTCACTCCTCAGGAGTCATGTTCTTCAAGCACTGCTGGGAAGGGTAATATCCTAACTCCTCTGGGACCTGGGTGCTAGTGCAGGGCTTTGTTATGTGCTACTGTGGGATGTACTGTGCATGCATCTCTCTATCACACTGAGTGGATGATAAAGACAGGCAAAGAAGACAGGAAATTTCCAAGTCTTGTCATCTTCACGGTCCCCATGAGAGTTGGTGTGACTTTGGGGAAAGCATACCCAGTTCTCTGCACTATTACACTCATGCATAAATGGGGCTCTGTCCAATAGAAGCTCTTTGGAAGACAAGGCTCAATCTGTAGTCCACCCCATCTGTCTCTTTGCTGAATAGTGTGGCTCCCCACAAAGCCTCCCTTCTCTATCACTGGCACCAGTATGACCACTTCAACACAGGAATTTCCCTGCCAAATCCTGTCCTCCACTTGGTGGGCAAAAGCGGAGGACGCACAGCCCTGAGCCAGCAGCTCTCTCTGTTTCTACTCTAATCTGTAGGACCAGCAATTCCTCTAGCAGGACTTCAGAAGTGTCTGTGCAGCAGACATCCTCCCTGGGCAGGTCCTAAAGTCTACACTCAAAGGAAACTTTTAAGCAGCCCAGTGGCCAGATTGCTCCAAAGTACATTCTCCAAACCAGGATCACTATTGATGAGACTGACATATTTGGTTGTTTTCTAAATCTGTTCTATGTCTCCCTTTATCGCCCACAGGGAAGGGAAAGGGTTACGACTAGTGGCCATCGGAGTGGTTACCATCTACAGAGAGAAACACTCACATTTGCCTGATTTAAGAAATCAACTAAATGGTAATCTATTAAGACGTCTTGCAGCATATGCTTCACATTCCCACATTTGATTAGTAACAACTTTACTGTAGCTCACACTTGCTTCCAAGAAGTATAGATATTCTTGAGATGGTTTTCCTTCCCAAATTCTTCTCTATTGGTGATTCCAAGTCCCAGCCTATTGGTTTCAAACTCCCCAACCCAGACGTACTTTCCTGAATCAATTCATCCCTAAGCGTACTGAAACTGCCTAGCAAATCTCCAGTGCCTAGAACCCCTCCCACTTCTCCCCCTGACCACCATCATCACCCACAGAGACTTACTGAGATTTTGATGATCTTGTCAAAAAGATGCACTTGGGGCCCAATGAAGTCGAAGACGAAATACTGCAAAACATAGAGTTCATCTGGCCAGTCAAATCCAGCTTTGCATTTAAGAATTCTGCTCCTAGAGTGAACTCAGAATTCAGTGCTGTTCTAAACAACTGCTGCATAGGCCTAAGTTCCATGAATATGTTATCAGTTGAGTGGCCATCCCCGCCCCCTGCAGGTCGCTTAGGTTGTTTTCAGTTCTTCCATGCAAAAACAGAACGCCAGCAGCCACATCCTTTCACTGGATGTGTGTGAGTGTTGCTCAAAAATGGGCAAAAGAAGTGGAATTGTTGGGCATGGGTTGTGTGAATATAGATCCTTAATATTAAAGTAGATACTTTAATACTTCAAAGTAGTTAAGCCCACCTGCAGCCTATGAGACCAGCTATTTCTCCACACCCTTACCAATCCTTCATGTCGCTAGTTATTTTATTTTTTTTTCTTGTAATGATAGGTAAAAACGATATCTTAGTATGATATTGTTTAGGATGAAATTGATTACAACCTAACTTTTCACGTTTTTCCGTTTCAGACAGCTCTGTGAAATTACCAAGGGGGCTGACAGAGAAATAATACAAATAAGTTATGGACAGGGAGATTTATAATATTAAGGAAAAGACTGAATTTCAAAGGTCAGGAGGCTGGGGTGATAGCTCAGTGGCATAAGTGCTTGCATGGCAAGCTCAAGGTCCTGAGTTCAATCCCCAGTACCAAAAAAAAAAAAAAGCAAAGGTGAAGAAATTACCTTCTTCAGATTAAAAAAACAACCAAACACACCTGAAGACTGAAGAACTTAAAAGATTTTTTCTTACATTATACTGTTAGTTATTTTGGGACCCAGGACCAAAACATATTTTTCCTAGTTACAAAAGAAGCAAAGTAGGTACTAGACGTTTCATCTGATCTTTGAGTTAAGTTCTTCTCAAATGTGAGGTTGCGTGATTCTTAAATAGAGGAAACCAGGGTGGTGTCTGTGTGTGGTTGGTTGGGTTTGTTTTGGGAGCTGAAGAGGGTTGGGGAGGCAGAACAGGGAGGCTATGGTCCTGGAGTTCTGCTCACTATTTTGGGCTTCAGGAGCAGAGGAAACATAAGTTAGAGATAGACACAGCAGTAAGAATGAAAAACTGACCAGCTTTCTTTCCAAATCAAAACAGAAAAACAAAAATATGTCATCAGATCTTTAGAATGGTGGCCTTTATTTATTGATTGATATTTATTTGTTATAATGTCTCCTTATGTAGCTTGGACTTGTAGTGATCCTTGTCTCAGCCTTCCCAGCACTGGGATTGTAGGTGTGTGCTCCCACACCCAGTTTTGGTGGCTGTGACTGGCTTGGCCTGTGGCCGGTGCAGCATGCGGTACCAGGGATCAAACCTGGGTCCTTGCACTTGCCAGGCAGGGGCTGAGATTGCTGAACTATCTCCCCAACCCTGGTGGCCTTTAGATAAGCGACAATATGCTAATCGTCTTCTGTTTAATAACAAAACATACATTATATTTTAGAAAAAATTTATGTACACTAGGGATTTAAACCTATTAAGAGTTTTAGTGATCAAATTTATGTGGAAAATTAGCTCATGTGGAAAATCCCTCATTCTCTGATAGGGTTGAACAGGCAGGACATGGTGGCTTCCCTTGGACTGGTAAATTCCTTTCAGTGGTTGCTGTGTCCGCTTAGCTTCCTGTGTCTCAGGTCCAACCTCCTCAGGCAGGTTCCCAAGACCTCTGAACCAGCATTGTCTAGACACCACTAAGTAGTTCCTTCAGCATCTGGAAACACTTGGGCTTGAAAGTTGGCCAAAACCCACAACAATGTACTGAGTTCACCTTCCATGTCTTTACTGCATTTCGTCTTGATGACGCTTGGGCCCAATTCCATGTCATTTGGACCCAGGACTTGCATGCATAATTATAATAACTAACAAACCTTAGGGCTTTGCAGCTTTAAAGCATTTTTGGACACGCTATCTCATATCACACTCGTAATAAAAAAAATAAGGGTGGGAGTGGAGTGTGAAAGAGAAAACTACTGACATTTTCAAGGCTTAGGGACAGGAACCGTAAACAGAAAAGCAATTAACAGCTCAAATGGGATTTGGGTATTTTCTGTCAATGCCATTATCCATGTGCTCCCTGCCTTCCTTTTTAATTAACACTCCCATTAGGTTAATAATGAAGAGTTTACTGCATTTTTTGTAATTTGTGGTGTCAACATAGCTACAGGAAAAAAGGAACTCTTGCATAGTTAGTTGGAGTATAAATTGTTAACTTCTTTAGAAGGCAATTTGATAATAACAAAAATTTAAGCATACTGTCATACACTGTGCCCCAATTATGCTGTATAGATATGATTATAAGGAGTAGCAACCAGCAGAGATTAGCATCCATGCATGACAGTCGGACTTAGTATAGTATGCTACATCAAAGCAGGGGACAGTTCCTCAGCCATGAGGGGAGAGATTGAACTACTTGTCCACTACGGACCAATCTCCAAGGAGCTGTCTTGTGAAGAAGAGCACGCCCAGCCGGTGTGTCGACAACGCAGCTATTTGGGGATCACGTGTGCTTTCACTCCTGTGTTGCTTGGAATCTCTCTGGGAAACGCCCAGATGCCCGGGAGAGCGGCAGCCCCCAGGACGAGGTCTAGGATTAGGGGCCAAAACCAGAAGGAAACAAAGTTTTCACAGTCATTTTCTACTGTGCCATTTTTTTCCACATAACAATCTTATTTTCAAAAGAGAATCAGTATGTTTAACATCAGAAACTTCTGTCTTTAAGATTTTCCTTTACACTTTCTGCACAGCTTAGAAAAGCACAGCCATTTTGCCCTCCAACACCGTATACCTCATCACTATCGATGACTAAGTTTCCAGCATCTCCGGCATGGAAAAGAATGTGTAGCTCTTCATGGCCAACCTTAAATGCTTATTGAATTGTCGTGGGGGATGACAAACTTAAAAGAAATAAGACAGCTCTGTTAGTACACTAATGACTTCAACATTCGGAAGCGTTCTTTGCCTCTCCTTTCCATTCTTTTTGTGTTGAAAACTGTTCTGGGTTGTGTGTGTGTGTAGGAGATTGAGAGGATTTGCTGCGATCCTCAGGAGAGGCTAGGAAGGGGATCCGGCCAGGGACGCAGCGTTCCTGTCCCGTGAGGTCTCCCGCGGGGAGCGGAGGAGAGGACGCGTGCCCGTGGACCGCGGTGTGCTCTCCACGACTCACCTCATTGTAAAACGGGCTGTTGGTCCCCTCCTTCACGGTGCTCTGCTTCTTCTCGTCCCCGACCTCGACGGTCACAACTGGGTCGATGTTCTCGCCCACCAGCTGGCGGGCCTCGATGATGGTGATGGAAATCTGCAACCGGAAGCCGCGCGCGAGCCACTCTGAGGTCGCTGCGCGCTCACTCGGGGGCACTGGGGCTGGGCAGGGAGGGCTGACCGCTTACTTGATAGCTTTGGGACTTGGCTTCACCATCGTGGATCCTAGTCAGCACCTTTGATCTACCAAAGAAAGGTTAGTCTATTTGTCTCCTTGCGTCAGAACATGCGTTAGATCCACAAGCCACAGTAATACTTCCCAAGACTGTCTAGTGATTTCATTTATGTTGCATCGCATATTCTCTCCACTGCTCTGGAAAAGGAAGGTACAAGCGAACAAGTCGCTGAGATAACTCTCTGTAACTCGGTTTTCCCATCCTGAAAATGCAGCTGAAATAGGACTTAGCACATGAGGTGACTGGTAGAACTAAAGGATGCAACACATAGAGATCTAACCCAATGCCTGGCGAAAATAAATAATAGCAGCTTTTTAGGACTAAGACTGACCAGAGTATATGATTTTATAGAACCAGCACCTGCGGTGCCTCAAAGTCAAGGGCAAAGCTGAGTCAGATTAGATTTCCCAACCTCCCACCTGATCCTAGACGCAAGATTGGCTCCTAGCTTCTAGTACATATAATAATTCGGGGCTTCGTGACTGCTTTTGAAAGGATTGATAGAGGATATCATTGGAAGGAATGAGGAAGATGTCGTGCTGCAGCAAGGTCATGTCTAGGGCAGTTCATTTATCTGGATTGTCACAAGTCACTGAAAACAGATGTGCAACACCTGGACCCTCAGGGATTGGCTAGCAGTGGAAAGAGATGAAGGGTCCTTGTCATCCAAGGGGCAACAGGTGGGAGAGGTGCCGAGCTGGGCTCCTGCTAAGTTTTGTTCCCTCAACTTCTAATCCCTTCTTGCATTTGACTTCATTCTATTTCTGCTAAATTGAGTCCAGCAGGGAATAGAGTGTGCCAGTAAAAATCTCAAGGCTTTGGAGTCAGACTCCTGACTTAGAGTATTTGTGCTTCCCACTTTGGAGCTTTAGCTTTCATTTCTTTACATGAGAGTAGACATACTATCCCGTAGCATTGCTCTGAGGTACAAAGGACCTCGTAATGTGTATAAGAAAAGCCAGCCATCGTTTAGAATGTTCATTAATGAAATGGCAAATTTACATTATGTGAAGCCTAGTGTTAGTCTTAGTTAAGAGGAAAGCAACGATTGATAACATCATCTTGGCACTTTCCAAGCTAATAATTTGTCCAAGGAAGAGAAAAACAAAGACATATGAGGAAAAAACTAGTATAAGGGGAAAATATAAGATAGAACAGATGAAGAGATGAGATTTCTAAGTGCTCTGTAAACAACAAAGACTTCACTGCAGAGGCCAGATCTGAACTGAGCATTGGTGGTAGGCAGACTTTCAGCTGCTGGACACCGCTCCAACCATATAGAAAGCAAAAGACTACTGCTCCTCATTTCTCTTTCCACCGCCTTCCTCCGTCTGTCTGGTTATCCGGGCAAAAAGGGATACCTTGATAGATATTAAAGAATGATTCAAGCTGTTGGTTGGAGGCCGGGCCGGGGGTGGTGGCTGTCGGGGCAGCATAGGGGTTTGGAGCGAGTGCGTGCACACAAATGCCATGTGGCGCTAGCTGGCTTTACTGACAGTAACACTCTGAGTGGAAAAAAGGAGGAGAGGGCATGGTGAGTAATCACAAGGAAGAGACTGACCTAAACAAATATGGCGGAGTGAAAGCTCTGACAGCCCCAGTTGCTGGCTTCTTTGGATCCAAGCTTGCTGGCCCTGGCCCTGCACTCTCCTCCCAGGGGACATGGCCTGACCTCGTAGCTTCCATTTAACCAGCACAGCGAGCACAAATGACTTTCCTCGTCCCAGTTTGATGCCTCAGGAGACCTCGCACGCTCTCTCTGAATGCTGCCATGGCCACCGGTGGGTCAGCTTTGGACTGAGCTGCTGGAGAGGCTGGTGCCACGTGATGGAGAGCACAGCGGGCCGGCAGAAGCAATGTCAGGCCAACCTCTTGCCTGCCTCCCCCAAGCTGAAATCAGCAGAGCCACCAAATGGCCAGAGACACCTGAGGAATCGTCTGACAACTACTGCTGGTGCTGGCCGGTAAAATGATGCACCCAGCGCAAAGCCTCCAGAGTCATATGAATGCCCGGTGTGGCAAGCCACTGATAGGGGAGTTATTCATCACACATCAATAGCTAATTGATAAAGCATGCACAAATCAAGTTTGCTTTACATTTTTTGTTGGTAGTTTAAAAACCACTTTCTCATTTGAAACAAAATGAAACCAAGAAAATTCATACTTGGATGAGTTAAAGAGGAGGCAAGTGATGGCTCTTGCTGCCATTTGTGCACCAGGAGGGCCATGAGTGCCTTACTCAGAGGAGATTTAAGACATGCAGCCAGCAGAAAGCTGACCGAGACCCCTATCCAGAGGCCTGCACTTGGAGAGAAAGCGAGTGGAGCAGCCGCCATGGCCCTTCCTGTCTCAGCACGTGGACATCCGCAGCATGCCTCACCTACAGGAGCTGCTCAGTAAGGGGACTGCGGTGGCCTCAACCCCGTACCTTCTCTTTGGAGGCGCTGATAAGGTGGGAGTGATGGACATATCATCACGGATCAGATCTCTTTCTTGTCCCTCCTGTGGAAAGGGTCCTTCCTGTGATGCTTCTGTGTCACTTTGACCATCTAGAAGAACAGGCAAAGGGGGAAAGTCCTCTTAATTGAGACTGGTATAAAAGAAATCAGCAGAGTAAAAACAAAGCCCATGAATTGGGGAAAAATTATAGTGGACAATCCTTCAGACAAAGGACTCCTGTTTAGAACATAAAAAATTAAAAAGAAATCAGGTCTCCAAAATTCAAAGACCCAAATCCATAAATGGGCATCTGAGATGAATATACCCTTCATAAATGAAGATACAAATGGCAAATAAATATATGAAGAATGTTCAACATCATTGGTCAACCAAGACATGCAAATTAAAACGCTGAGATACCATCTTACACCAGAAAGATGGCTTTCATCAAGAAGTCAACCAATAACAAATGCTGGACAGGCTGTAGGGAAAAAGCCAGCCTTCTCCACTCTTGGTGGGAGTGCAGGCTGGTACAACCATTATAGAAATCAGTATGCAAATTCCTCAGAAAGCTAGGATTAGAGATCCCATTCAGGCCAGCTATTCCCTTCCTCGGTATTTTTCCAAAAGAACTGAAATCATCATACCACAGTGATACATGTGCACCTATGTTTATAGCAGCACAATTTCTCATAGCCTATCAACTGAGGAACAGATAAAAAATATATGGGATTTTTACACAATGGAGTACTATTCAGCTATAAAAAAGATAAATTTGAGGCTTTTATAGATAAATGGATACAACTAGAGACTATATTGGCAAGTGAAATAAGTCAGATCCACATGTGGAAACATTGTATTATCTTGTTAGTGTGAGAACCTGAAAGAGTAAATAAAATACTGTGGAAGGGAAAGTATTTGTTCAATGGGAAGGAAAAACCGGGATGAGAAAAAGGACAAAAGAAAGAAGGGGAACAGATACATTTAGGTATATGTGCAGGATAGTTTGGATAATTGTACTGCAGATTTTTTCTGGTCTTTTGAAAGCAGCAAAAATTAAGTTAATGTTTAATTTTTTTAAATTCTTATTCTTTTTTTTTTCTTTTGAATTTCTTAAAACTTTCTTGTTATTATCTAGTTTTGTGTTTTCTTTAAACCAGTCTTGCGTGTTTATATCTGGTAATCAAACAACTAATTTGAAGATAACATCATGCAATACAGCAACCATTGTTCAATTCCTATTACTCTGTTTAGTGAAATTTTGTATTGTTTCTAATACTGGGGGTTTTTTTGTATCACTTTTATTTTTACTTTTTTTCATTGTTTATTTGTTTGTTTGTTACAGGGTCTTGCTATGTAACTCGGACTCGTAGTGATCCTCCTAGCTCAGCCTCCCCAGTACTGGGACTACAGGCATGTGCCACCATGCTGTTTCGGGGCCAGCACAGCACGCCCAGGGCTCCAGGGATCAAACCTGGGTCTTTGTACTTGCCAGGCTGGTGCTTAGACCTCCAATCTATCTCTTCAGCCATCTCTATCACTGTTGTGTGCTCTTTAAAAAATAAAAATTGAGGCTGGCAGCAACCAAGGCTCCACTCTGCCTGGCACCATGCCCGACACCAGTGGGCCACAAGAGGATTATGAAACACTCTCTGCCACCATGAAGCCTAACATCCTCTTGGCAGAAAAGCCAGACACATTTTTCAACTTTTCTTAAAATAAAATATGTCTTTTATTTGTTTTGAAAAAAAAAAGAGCTGATCTGCATGGATGGTGGTAGGAAAACTGTGTGCTGAAACAAACACTCTCAAGTCACGACCGTCACGCGCCAGGGAGACAGAGACAATCGTTTAGTTTCTCTGAGATTTATCAGCACAGTTCAGTGTGCATGAGAAACGCCTGGGAAGCTGTCAGATCAGCTCTGATCGGGTGGGCCGGGGCTGGGGGTGGCGGTGCTCTAGGTTAAGTCTCTAGCAGCAAAACTCCAGGTACAGTCAGTCCTGCAGCAGGTAGCCAGCACTGAGTAGCTGGGTTCTACCCTCCGAAAGGATGGCCAGCCTGAGTCCCGGGCCTGTAAACACTGGCTGATGGGAATGAAAGCTCTCCGCAGATGTGGGTTTGCTGGGAATTTTGAGATGAGGCAGTGATCTGAATTAGCAGGCAGGCTGGAATTGCAGCCATACCTACCCTTATAAGAGAGAGGCAGAGGGAGATTTTGCACAAAACAATGGCAGCATGACCCTGGGGCCGGAGGCTAGATTGCTGCTTCCACAAGCCAAGGAATGCCACAGCCCAGGGACTAGGATCTGGGTCCTGGATGTCCCTTGGGGGCCACATGCTGAGAGCCTGGTTGCCAGCCTGCAGTGCAATTTAGAGAAGGTGGGAACTTTGCAAGGTGGGGCCTGGTGAAAAGAAGCCAGGTTATTGGGGGGCAGACAGGGGGACATTGGCAGCCCTACCGCTGCTTCTTTCTCTCTGCTGACTGCCACAGGTGGGTAGGCTTGCCCTACCGTGTGGTCCCCACCATGATGCTTTGCTTCACCACAACCCCCAAAGCAACAGAACAGTCAACCACGGACTGAAACTCATGGAACTATAAGCCCAAGTAAGTCTCTGCTTCTCATAATATCTATTGTGGGTGTTTGTCACCGTGAACGAAAGCTGACACACATCAGAGACAGGAGGAGTCAGGAAACATCCTCAGGCTCTGGATTTTGCCCCCGTGATGCTGACGCTGGACTTCACAGCTGCAGCAAATCAGTCTGTTGCTTTAGGCTCTCGAGCTTGCATATTTCAAGCTATCTAACTAGGAAGGGTAGATTTCATGGAAAGCTTCAGGAAGCAACTGTACAAGCGCTTAGAAACCCTAACCAATTGGACAGCAGTCATTTTCTTTAGATTCCTTCCTGCGTGCCCCAGTATCCTGAGGGAACTCACCAGGAAAGCTGCCTGGGCGCTAAGATTGTTTGAGTTTCCCAGAGGATACTAACGTGTACAAAGTTTGAGAACCACTTCTTCATCAGGTTTTGGCAGAAACAAGAGTGGCTGGGCCTCCCTAGCACACCAGAAGAGTGTGAATGGTATAGTCAGATAGACGTTAACCCAGAAGCTTTGGGTTCAAATCTCAGCCCTTTCACTTTGGAGTTTTATGATTTGGGCAAGTTATTTCTGTCTGTTCTATTTTTCCTATCTGTACAACAAGACCGAGTTAATTCCATCTACACCACACAGTTCTCGGGAAAATTGAACAAAATGCATAAAGCCCCACAAAGTGCTTGCCAAATATATCGGGTGCTGAGGAGGACAGATTAAAGTGGCATGGCTTGAGCCTGTTGCACAGACTTGCTTGGCATTCTTTTTTTTTCTTTATAGGATTATTTTATGAGGGTCACCCAAAGATCCACATACAAAATGATTTCAGGAATTCTTTCCACATTGCTTGGCATTCTTTTGCCTTCCCTGTAAAGTAAAAGCACTGGGCAAGAGAAGTGGTCTTGAACTCTATAAAGCACCTTGGTCCCTTTATAAATATAGTTTTATATTGAACCTCAGTATAAAACAAAAATCCATTTGGGCCAAGCTGTTCAGTGTGCCACGGGTGGAGTGCAGGCAGGAAACCTCCCACTTAGTCTCCCACTCTTCTCTCCAAACACCCCTGAAATAGTTTTCTGAATCCTGGGACTCAACTCTAAGTGCATTAGTCAAGTCATCTCTAAGATACTTTGTGGCTGCAGCATGCTTTGGGTTCCGTTTTAGTCAGCCAGCCCTGCCAACAGCCCTTATGAGAAGACACACAGGGTGAGGCGGCTCAGACCACAGAACTCCGTCACCCAGGCTTGGACTCGGTAGATACTCAGCAGCCACAGAGAGGGTGGCTGCAGGAACAGAGCCTGCCTTCCCCGAGCCTGCTCTCTCAATCAGGAGACTAAAGCCAAGACCAGCACTGCCGGCAGGCCACAGGAATCTAGTGTCTGGCTGGGCTCCTGGAAGCAGCCCGGTAAAATAAACCCTTGCTCCCCTCCTTGAGTACGGGTGAGAAACTCAAGTGAACTCAAGTTTCTAAGGAAACTTCCACCAGATGCGTACTAGGAGCTGTGCTGAGTTAGATGTTCAAGATCCATCCAGAGGTTTACATTCTGGAGCATGAGAGACCCTGAGGTAGAAAAGCCATCAGCTGAAGCTTCATCATTCATTCATTGGATTACTACACTCTCTAATAGACTCTCCAGGTAGAATGCGGGTGGCCAGGCCACTTCCTGTCTTAGAACCTCTCAGTGTCTCTCCACTGCTCTTAGCCAACAGTCTGCAGCCCATGCCTGGCTAACACCCTACCCATTTGGCTTTGCTCCACTGCCCCGTCATGGTGCCCCTCTCCCCTGCCCTGCTCCCAGCCCCTTCCAGGCTGACAGGCTCACTCTTGTTTATCATTTGTTTGCACCAGCACCCTCTGCCTGAGCTGCTGTCCTTTGTGCTGTCCCTGGGGGCTCCCTGTCACTTTGAAGTTTCCCTTTGAAAGCTACTTCCTCCCTGATCCCACCAAATCTCTATTTCAATGAGCCAAGAATCCGGAGAGACTCCCCCACTCCCTCCCAGGAAGCTCCACTGAAGCCCCTTGTGTTTTTTACAGCATTTCCTCCCCTTATAATGTGGGCTCCAGTCAAGGCCTCAGCAATCAACAGATGGCACAGCCAGAATAAGATGCTTTCGGGGCTTCTTACAAAGATGTGGGTGTAGGAAAACCACAAGAGCGTGTGCAGTTATGTGGGGCTGCTAGCAGCCCCAGACAGCCAGGCTGGCTCCACTCCTAGCCTGGCAAATGAGAGAGAGAGAGAAAGAGACAGACAGACAGACAGACAGACAGACAGACAGACAGACAGACAGACAGACAGAGACAAAGACAGAGAGACAGAGACAAAGAACTAGAACCTAGAAGGAGTGGAGTAAGCATGAGTCAGCCTCCCTATGAAGAGCAGCCCTTTGCCATCAGCTGAGGGATACGGTCATCTGTACCCCATGCTCCTGCTCCCCATCTCCTAAGACCTTCTTCTGGGACACTGTTGGCCAGACCCAACCTGAAGCCAGAAGGCTCTGGGTCCCTGGGTCCTCCCACATAGAAGTCAGCCTTTGGGGACCTAGAACAGGTAAAGAATAGAGATTGGTGAAGTGGGCAGAGAGAAGAGGCCTGCACAAGACCACCCTCTCTCTAAACTATCTGGTGTCCATCCACCCGACAAACTGAACCTGACCCAGGGCCCACACCCGGCAGACATTCCATTAACTTGTGCTGAACAAGCAATGAATGGGTGGTCGGGGAGGTGTCCAGCCTGTAACTACCTAATGGGTGGGTTCAAGTATCAAGACTCTCAAGGGTGCGAGTCATATGCACAGACAAAAGAGCCGAAGACTTTGAGAGTCTCCTATCATTCACCCAGAAGCCCTAATTTTCCTGGCTGAGCCAAGAAGGAAAGACCGAAGTCTCCATTGAGTCACAAGCATTTGTCTCCCACGGGCTGGCCTCTCCCAGCAGGGTGGAGCTCATTTACTTTCTAGGAGGGGCCTTGGGCCTCTCTGCCCTGTTTGCTTTCTGGGCTGAAGACTGTGATAAGAATGAGCCACAGGCCAGTCCTCTGAAATGCCTGTGCTTGGGGCCAAGGAATCTACTTCTCAGGGCCCTGAGTGATGTATCAACTAACAAGCAGTAGAGAATAAGTATGCCCCATAGATGTCATTCTTCATAAAATCTTTGAGGAATAACTATGCCTTATTTAACTCAGTTTCGAGGATGACAGGAAAGCCCTGGAAACCTTTTCCACCCTCTCCCTGAAGTCATTGATTTAACTGACTAGACAAGTACTTCTACTAAGCTTTAAGTCTAACCCCCTTGAATACCAACACTCCTCCCTCCCATTCAAGTGTAATTCTTTGTCATCATTGTCAGTATTTTAGGATGAATGCAAGAGTGAGTTAGGTGGGGCATAAAGTCACTGAACCACTGCAGTAGAGGACAGGAGACAAGATGGGTGAAGATTTACCAGGCCCACTACACCCTTTTAGTCTAGGAATGAATGGTCCAGAGAGCCAGCCTTGATGCGGGCCACTCAGCGGAAGTCTCCAGAGCCCACGTAGACCTGTCCACCAAGGTTCCAGTGTGTGTCTGCACCAGCCCTACTGGTCTAGCCCACCCACTGGCGTCATTTACACTGTCATTCAAGTTTGCTCTTTTGAAGAAGGAAGTAGCCTTACCAAGGGCAGGACGTCTGGCCCCTGGGCTTGTAGCGCCGTGTGCTGCTCCCTCCTCCCTGCCCCCACCCTCTGCACCGGCGCCTGGAGTGGGCAGTCTGTGCAGACAGGACCTCACACTCAAAGAACCCTGTTGCATTTGGTGTAAGCTCTGTCATCACCAGCCTGAAATTCTGAGTAATTTCTCAACGATGGCTTTCCATTCTCACTTCTGGCTGGGCCTCAACCCTCGGAAGCCAGGCTTCTGTGCCACACCTACTTGGCTGCCTCATTCTCCGCAGCTCTCTAACTGGGTCATAACAGAAGGGTAACAGTGCTGACTGCTAGGGTGGCGGAGAGGTCCAGCGAGACGACACAGGGTAAAACCTTCCTCGCCGTCACCATAGTAGTGATGGTCTCACTCTTATTTTCAGTCTCTCATTTGATCTTCCCATCACCATGTGAGCCCAACAACCCACACCATGCTCATTTGAGAGGACAGGAAGTGAGTCTGCACCCACCCACGGTCACAGAGCAAATTAGAACAGAAGTAGATTCTGGACCCTGTTGCTGCCTCTCCAAGGGCCTCTTCCATGGCCCACCTCGTGTCCACCCCAAACCTACTTGGTGACGACCAGGACTTTGGGGCACTTTTCTTCATGCCTGGGATGAGCAGGACCTGGAGAGCTAGCAGGCAGCAAGCACACCTCGCCTTACTCTAGTGGACAAAGAGCCACTTCTCAGCAAGGAGGTGTCCCCCGTGAGGGCCAGTTCCCAGAGCAGCGGCCACCACCTGGCCACAACTCACCTTGTGCGGACTTGTTAACTAAAATCAGCCCCTTCTCTGCTTTGTTCTTTTTCTTCTTCAGCTTCAGTCCAAACATCCCTTTTCTGAAAAGAAAACAAAAATAAACTAAATTAAGCAGCACAGTAAAATAGAAGCGGAGTTGTTCAGACATGCAGGAACACCAACTCGCAGCTGAGCAGCCTCCCTGCCCGTCCAGGAGGGCCGAGCGCTCAGCTGCTGCAGAAGCAGAAGCTCCTCAGACGAGGTGCCCCAGAACTCTAGCCGCAGCTGTGTCTCCATTTCTCTGGCTCACCCAGGCCAGGCACTGTGTGCAGCCCTGGGAAGGATGTCACACGAGGGTCACAGCACCCCTCTCCTGCCCATGGTAGGACCATGGTCCAGGGCCTGTAGAGGCTTAGGCTGTTTCTGAGTTCCTGAGCACCAGAGCTCTTGCCGGAGCCCGAACCTGCCTAACTTCAGAGCCCAGGAGCTCACCCCTGCACAGCCTCAGCCTATTCTCCCTCCAACAGCAAACACACCCCCCTTGAGCCTGGCTCTTGGGCTACTTCCAAGATCAAAAGGTTCCGGTCTTCCCGAAGGCCACAAGCGCATAGTTCAGCTGACACCTGGGGCAGGCTCCAAACTGCTGCCAGCGCTGTTCTTACTATTGGCTTCCTCACATCTCAGGAAAGGGTCCCGTTCCACTGTCTCTAACACAGAGAGCGTCCTTGCTGCGCCAGCTCTCAGTCAGAACTCCTTTCTAAAGCTGAGGGAATGAAAACCTACAGCCCCAGATGAAGCACAGAGGGTCACAGGCTGGAGCAAAGGTGCCGCCAGGTGGGTGGGGCTGCCTGGATGGCCCCAAGGACCTAGCAGAAGGAGCCGGAGGTGTGAGGTGTGCACTGGAGGGGCGGGTGGTAGTGCCTGGTGCCCTGCTCTGTGGACTCCCTGGGTAGCCAGCCCCTCCCCTTGGCTTCTATAGTTGGGACTCAGGAGGTAATGGAGTCAGTGACCAAGACTGGGCTGCCTGGACTCTGTCCCAGCTTGGTGCTCACAGGTTGGACCAGGTCCCCCCCGCAAAGTGGAGTCACAAAGGCAAAGAAGTTAGTGCGGCAGTTGGAACACACTTGCTGCCCAGTTACTATTCTTTTAAGGGTTAAGATTGAAATCGAAATTGGGATGCAGGAAAAGACAGATGTCTTATTTATTTATGTACTTATTCATTCATTCTGTATACACCCCACTTCAAACCAGATGGATCAGTACCACCGGACACAGATGGACCACTATGGGAGAGGGAGATCTCTGTCCCCGGAGGTTTGTAGGTGGAGGGTGGATGACCAGTGTCAGAGGTGGGTTCAAAGAGACAAGCATCAAGAGGGGGAGCTGATTAGGGGCTCACTGACTCCCTTGAGATCCTGCAGTGCAGTAGGTGGGAAAGAACGCCCTCCAGAAACAGCCATGCCTGGGCTGTCACACAGCCTCGCTTTTCACTCTGGTTCCTCACACATGTGGTGGCGATGGGAACAGAGTACCTACTCTACAGGATGGTTGTGATGAAAAATAAGGTAAAGGGACAAAGCACCCAGGACCATGTCTGGTACACAGAAAGCGCAAGACAAGTGCCTCTGGGGAAGAAGCAGTTTTCTCTGATGCTCCGATATCCTAATTCTCAGGAATCTCTGGAGAACATGCAAAGGAAACTCCTCCTTTCTGATATTTCCAAGAGAGGCCTTGTAATAATAGCTCCTACTGCCCTGCTTCCAAGGGTACTTCCAAACAGGGGACTCAAGGCTAGAGTCCCTTTCACACCCTGAACTGGCTGTGGCAGTTCCCCAGGGCTCGTTGCCAAGATCAGCTCCGATGGTAGAACAGATCCTCCCAGGAAATGGTCCATGGGCTTTCAGCCTGACAAGGCTGAGTTACTCCCACCTACAAATAGGAAGCTGCTGCCTTAAACAATATCCAGAGGGGAGGCGCCATGCTCCTATAAGGGCTGACATCCTCATCTAAGATGGCCTCAGCATTCTGGATTCTTCCATAGAGAACTAGTACCCAAGGCACTGGGCCATGACTGAGGATGCCATCGTGCATGAGTCCCCACTCATGTTCTGAGTCTCCACCCTGACTTCATGAGGAGAGAGCCAGACCCTTTTCACAGAGGCAAGCACTCTTCCCTCTCTGGAACTCACAGCTCCTGTTGACCCTGCTGCCTTTTAGATTTCCTTGTGGAAGTGTTTGTCTGCTTAACACTAATGTCTCGAATGGCCTTCTGAGATTTGTAATCGACCTGAGGTCGAGTCAGGGTTGAGAAGCACGTGGCTAGGCACAGCTTGGACCCCCACAGAATAAGCCAAAGGGACATTTCAGGAATGCCAAGCCAGCCAGCCCTCTTGGGTAGATGGATGCTAGTTTCACAAACACAGATGTGTTTTCCTGAAAACACATGTGAGTCAGCCATCCTGGGCACACCCAGCACAAAAGCTGATTCCTCCTTCACAGGCCCCAGATACCTTGCTGTAGGAAGGACCTAGCTTGCTAGCAGGTGACAGTGCCCCTGACAGAGCAGTGCAGAGTAAATCGGTGACACGAGACTCTGTCAGGAGACTTGTGTGGATCGAGCTCCAGAATCGGGGGCTAAGTACTTCTGCAGACGAGCACGTTTTCTCCCCATGTGATACGAGGCTATTTCTTACCCAAGTCACAGGGTGACTTTAAGATAGGAAACAATACTTGTAAAGTATAATGTGTGCTACAAGTTATCTCAGTAGGGATGCCAGAGAAAAACAAGATTAAATTGTTTGAATCATGTGACAAGAACATGATTTTACACACCTGATCTCCCAGCCCCACAGCCTGGATGAGATAGACGTTATGAGTGGCCTTTCTTACGGTGAAAGGGTGCTGGGAGTGCCCACTAACACACTGAGACTCACCACCGGCTTGGGAACGCTTGCCTGGCAAGCGTCCAGCAGCTCCCATCACACCTGCCCAGGCCAGCTTGCTGACAGTTCTCATAAGGGAGCCCCAAGTGGACCTGACTTTCTGCCCCCCCATCCACCCCACAGTAAGTTAAGGGACACCTGGGTGTACCCATACCAACCTGGTCTCCTCAGGGTGAAAGCTACCGTGACTCCGGTATCTGTATCCAAACAAGAGCATTGAACAAGACAGGATTAGATTTGCTGTGGCCCATCTTTCCAAGGCAGCCATGCTGTGTGTTGGGCCACGGGAGCTGCACTGCCAGGGGCCAGCCAGCCTGGCGCCTGGCAAGAGGGGCTGGCCCACGGGGGTGCGGGTCTCATAGCTGCTCTGCAAGTGGGGCTGAGCCCCGGCCATCTCTCAGCACCAGGCCTGCTGCTCTTCTGCTTCACGAAGTCGTTAAGGGGACTCTGCCTGTCCTTCCTGGGAGGGTACATGGATGGGCCTACTGAGCCTCACACTCAACTGTTTGCAAAGTGCTACAGATAGCTAATCTAAGATAGTGCTGTCTGCGGCCTGCTGGAGCCAGGACTGGGGAGTGCTTGGAGCTGGAATTGCCATGCGGTTCCCAGTTGAGGCCCCAGACTTCGCTTCTGGAACCGCCTTTTCTACCTTTGGGGAAGAATCGAAGCAGCGTGGACCAAACGACCAAGCACTGAGGCAACTGCGTGAGTGGTGTGACCGGCACTTGCTCTTCTCCTCTACAGGTCACCCGGGTACCTCCCTTCCTGACCAAAGCCACAGCACCCAAGATGGGGAAAAAAGGCAAAGCTTAATTAATTAGAAAGCAAAGCTTTAGCTGTGTTATTGATTTATCTGCCTGAATATGCTGACAAATATTTTTTTAATGTATTTAGTACAGGGCCTACAGAGTCTTACTGCACAGACTGGACTTGCAGTGATCCTCCTGTTTCAGCCTCCCAAGCAGTGGGATCACAGGCACACACCACCACGCCAGGTCTCATTCACTATCTCAGCATGCTCGAGGGGCAGGGCCAGCGCAGCAGGCCGGGGATCGAACCCGCGGCCCCTGTGTCTGCCTAAGCAGGTGCTTTAATCTGCTGAGCTATCTGGGCAGCCCTCTGACAAATTTTCTTGAACTAAACTATAATTTTATATTTAATTATACTCCTAGATTAAAAGAATAAATTATTGTACTTTTAAAAACAAAACCAGCTTGGGAGATAGCTCAGTAAAATAAGCGCTTGCATGGCAAGCGCAAGGGCCTGAGTTCAATCCCTGGTTCCACCAAAAAACAAAACAAAACCAATCAAATGCCTGCACCATTCTAAGGCTATCCACAAAGCCCCTGATAAATGCCCAGTTGCTTGCTGGGAATTACTTCCTGAGGCACACCCTACTGTACGTTCTTACTTTGAAGACGGAAACGTATCTGTGAAAGACAAACTACTAAGTGTTGAGACAGCTGTGAGTTCTGCAGAAGATCCTTAGACAGAAATCTCCACGATACCCCTATCAAGGCTCTGTAATTCCCTCTCCTCTCCTCTCCTCTC